AATTCAAATCGTCACATCCTGGTAACTTTTCTGAGATGCTGAGATAGCAGTGAGGTGAGGCTGCCCCTGCTGCCTCCCGACCTCTCTCCCAGGTCCTTTCTCCCCCGGGTCCTTCCTCCTCCATCACACCTACCTCCTGTGTTCTGAGACACTTTGTATCACCTTGGGCTCATGTCAATGCACTTTAATTTTTTTTTTTTACTTTTTTTTCCCATCCTATGTGTTTCTTCCTGTGAATTTTTACCGTCCCCCTCCCATGTTATATTTCTCCTTGAAAATCTCCGGTAAAAATTTATTGTTTAAAAAATAAAGTTTAAACTCCTTAACATGACCAGATGCCAAAAAACACATTAAGTAAGAAATGTTTACAATAATTATTTCACATCTTAGTTTTTCTTAAAACATTCCTATGAGAAAGATAGATGTCAAATATTTTCCCTAAATTGTAAATTGATTAAACAGAGGTGAATTATTTCCCCCAAATTTTCAGGAATTATATGAAGGAGCCAAGAGCTGATTATATTTCTTAGTCTTTCATTTTTTCCTCTAGAATAGAGTTTTAAAAAATCTTTTCTGTCAGTTTTGACCCGTATTATAGGTAATTCTCACAGGTACAGCACATTCCCACGTGCCCACTTACAACCTGTCCACTTGCTGGTGCTTTACAGAGTCCCTTTTTCATACCACTCATGGGTCATGTTAGAGTGTGTGTTCATGAACGAGCAGTCACATAGTGTCAAGGATATAAATATGTGCAGGGCCAAGTTAGGGAATTAAACTAAGTCATCCATCAGTGGATGAATGAACAAAGAAAACGTGGTCTATACACACTATGGAATACTATTCAGCTTTAAAGAAGAGAGAAGGGTTGTCATTTGTAACAACATAGATGAAATTGGAGGGCATTATGTTAAGCAAAAGAAAACACAAAAAGACAAAACCCACACGTGTCACTTATATTGGAATCTCAAACAATTAAACTCAAGGAAGTGGAGAATACAATGGAGGTGATAGAGGTTGGGGATGGTGGGGTGGTGGTCAAAAAGTACAATGTTGCAATGAGTGAAGAGGAACAAATGACAAACGTTTAAGGTGATGGATATACTAATCACCTTAATTCAGTTATTCCACATTGAATATCATAAAATCACTGTAAGTGGTGTTGGCTTGGCCGAGAACCCCAAACTGTTACCTGTAGAAATGTAGAGTGGATGTTGAGAGCTTCGTGCTAAAATCAGTGGTTTCAAAGTGCTTTTGCAAAGAACATAATTTTTTACTGTACATCATTCTGTAGCTAATAAATATTATAAGAGAATTCAAGACATCTTCGCAATTGCTTATCCATAACATTGAAATATTGCTGATTCTAAAATTAATCTGAGCAATACTCAAAAGTGTTAATACCAAAGCTGGTTAAACCAAGCCTTTGGCACCATCCAGAGCTAAATTCAAGTCTCTGTTCTTTCGCTTACTAGCTAACTTTCCTTGAGAAAGTTACTTGGTATCTCTGGCTCTCTTTCCATAGTTGTACTTCGGGAATAATATTAGATTACTTCCTAGATAGATTGGTTGGAGGATTCAATGAAACAATAGCTATAAAGTATTTAGTCAGTACCTGGCACATCCTAAGGAAACAAACAATTTTAACACTCACCTTTTGGTCATTTGAAATCACTTTTCTAGTTTCTTAATTGATTTCACTTTGAAAATTTTTATTTTTATATTTAAGTTATTCTCTGTTCCCTTTCCCTACAACATACAGTTTTTCTAATCTCTTGTGTTCAAAGAAATTGTGTCTACAGCAAAGAAACCTCAAGTATGGAAAGAAATGGAGCTGGGAGGATGACAGAGGACTAGTGTTTAGATTTCTTGGAAGAGACTTAACTGGGACATTTGTCAGGAAGTGTTACCAACGCTATTCATCATGCCAGGAGAGGATCTAACCAACTGGAAGGGGCCCTGGGGACCAGGAAAGGGCTGCAAAGAGGTCCTGGATGGTTCTCAATTCCAATTTCTCATTAACAGTCAGGAGCAGACAAGCTAGTCATGTTTTGGAAACTTCCAACTTGTGCAAGAAAAAGGCTCTCAGAAAAAGTGCCACTTGAGCCCTCCTGTCACGTATGGGAATGTCAGCGGGTTATTTGGTATGACTCTAAGCCTGATTATAGTTTGGCATATTTAAATCACTTTCTGACCACATTATTTATCTCGGCTTTTTTTCTTTCCTTTTTTTTTTTTTTTTTTAGCAATATGGGTTTCATAATAACAATGAGATGTTTTCAGATAAGATAAATGGAAGAGTGAATTACCCCCTTTAAAATTAAGGAACAGATGCTATGAAGATTAGCACTGTGAAGCAGATTATAACACGTTTTGTTCTTAAGGGAGGATTTTACAGAAAATTTCATCATTGTTTACAAGGAAGCTGGAGTTCCACTAAGAGTTGCCTCACTTCCTCCCTTTTCTAAATTAATTAATGCTGCCCTCATTTCCAATAGAACGGAGTGGCTGTCTTTTGTTGTTTGCCTAACAATGCAATTGCAGACCCAACTGTGCCTGGAAGAGTCCAGAAAGCTACTGGAAAACTTAGTAATGTTGCAGGACAATGGATACAAAATCTGTGATTTCTGGGAACATCATGAGAGTTTTCAAAAGACTTTGGTCTCAACTACTGCTCCTTTTACTTTCATTCCTCCAACTGTCTCAGAAAAACTTGTTTATACGTATATACATCACCCTAGAATTCAGATATTTATCATATTCCTCTAGCCCTTCTTCCTTTTTCCTCCTTCACTAAAAAAAGGGCAAGATTTATATTAATAATATTGATTTTCCTAATAATATTTAGATTCATTCAATTCTGTATAAATTTATAGTTCAGGAAACTAGAATTACACATTAAGAAGTAACTTTGGGGGTCTGTAAAGCTCTGTGGGAATATGGACGAGGGGCAACGGCTCTGCTAATCAGATGGTAATGATGGAATCAGGGAATAATAATATGAAGAGAAAGTAAATTTAAGCTGGACTTGGACCAGTTAATAGGTGTCAGCAGACAAAATGGGAAAGGAGGGACAATATGCTATTATCTAGCATATTGTCCCTCCTTTCCCATTGAATAGGATTTTTTTAAAAGCCATAGAGGCTTGAGCATGCATTTGAGAACCATAAGTAAAAAGTGTGGTTAGAGTTTACCTTGCATGTGAGGGAGGGAGGCCATGGCTTGAAAGGAGGCCAGAGTTTGAAGTTTATCCAGTAGAGGGAGCCATTCCAGATTATTGCTATAGAATATCTACTCAAGGTGTGCAGGTGGATGAGGGAGGGGCAACTGGAGCAAGGGCACCCTGCATGGCAGGTACTGCAATGTGCAAGAGGGAGCAGAGAAGGGCCTTCATGAGAAGACAGCTGGCAGCATAGGGTGGATGAGATAATTTGGGGCCATAGCATGGGTAGAGCTAATAGGATTTAACTACTAATTGAATGATAAAGGATAGAGGTGAGTTGATGTCATTACACATTCTCTGAATGATGTGTATACTCAGGTGACATTAATCATAACAGTAAGTGGAGAATAGACACAGTTTCTGGGAAAAATGATGAATCTGGTGTAGATGCTATTAATGCAACCAGCTCTGACGGTTGCCCAGGGATGAATAGCAAGCGATTGGAATGTGGGTCTAGAGCTCAGAAGAAATGTCAGTTCTAGGAACAAAGTCAAGAATGATTTTCTTTAGAAGTGAGGGCCAAAGCCTTAAATAAAATCACCAATGCAAAGCATGCCAGATAAAGGGACAAGAAAACTAATGATTGAAGCTTGAGAAAAGTCTATTTAAGAAGCAATGAAGAAAGGAGAATGAAGAAAGATTAAAGAGGGGACTGTAAGATTAAAAACAAAAACAAAAACCAACACTCTGCCCTATTGAAACCAAGAGAAGCAAAGCTGAAAGACAATGGAGGGGAAAGTAACAGTGTCTAAAGCTGAAGAAGTGTAGTGACCACGTAGAACACTTTTGACATTGAAAAATTCATTGGCGACTCGGGAAAGTATGGCTAATTGGTGACCACAGAATTAGAACTATAGGATGTTATGAAGCAACTATGAGATGAGGAATTAAAGCCGTGGTGATTTTTACTGCTCTATAAAGATATTAGCAATGATGGGAAAGGAGGATCTGTTGAGGGTTAAGTGAGGTCAAAATGACTGGAAAAGTAATCAAGGAAAAGTAGTCATTAAAGATGAAAGCATTGAAACATCCAGAAAGAAAACAATACTCATGGAACAATTCCCATGAATGGAAGAAGAAAGCGATGTTTATTGAATGATCCTTAAAGATGATTAAATGGTACATATACATAATGGAGTATTAGCCATAAAGAAGAATGAAATTATAGTATTTTCCAGTAACTGGGTGGAACATGTTAAGTGAAATAAGCCAAAACAACAACAACAACAACAACAAAAAACCCAAAAAACAAAAAACAAAAGGTGAATGTTCTATCTGATACTCACATGCTGACTCACAAGAGGCTAGCAGTGGGGAGAGAGGAGTGGAGGTTCACGGGATTGGACAGGGATGAGTGGGGGGAAGGGAGATGAGTTGGAAATAGGAAAGACAATAGAATGAATCAGACATAACTTTCCTATGCTTATATATGAATACCCGGTCAGTGTAACTCCACATCTTGTACAACCACCAAAATGGGAAGTTATACTCCATGTACATACGATATGTCAAAATACATCCTACTGTCATGCAGAACTAGAAAAACTAAATAAAAATTTTAAAAAATAAATTTTATTTCAATTAAATAAACACCAACACTTTTGGTGCCTTTCCTTAGCCTTCAGCATAACCTTTGCATTTATCAAAGTAAGGAAAACAATTATTTATAATAATTGGATTCAACTTGGATCTTCATGAGAAGAAAGCTAATTCCTGGCTCTAATGTGGTAATAAAGAGCTTTCTTTATTTGTGGTTGGCAGACTGCAGGTTGAGAGGCTGAAAAATCCAAAACAGTTTTCTTTGGGTTGTGCGAGCTGTGTTTGACAAGGTAACCCGTGGCAGGAGGGAAAACTGTGATTGAAGAGTTCACCGTTGGACCAGTAGGTACACTCATCCAGTATGCAGGTAATGTTGAAGAACAGGATATTTTTTCCTAAGAAAAGCAAGCAAAGAGAAGTTGATGACATTTGCATTTGATTGAAGTGGTTGGTTGTGGAGGACTTGTGAACTCAAGATGTTGATAGTTTTGGCAATAACCTGATAAGAAATGGAGTTGGGCTGTTACAAGACCTTCCCATCGGATTAGGCTTTTGAAATAGGGTACATTTCATAATACTTCTGTAAATGGGGCTCTTTTTAGAAAGTAATGACTTTCAGTAATTAAAGTACCATCAGAGCAGTAACTTGTACAAACAAAACAGGGAAACCTAACAAGGTACACATTTTTCCACTTAGAAGCCAAAGAGGGAGTATCAGATTTATAAGAGCTCAAACCCTTTGGCTGTTTGAACAAGTTTGGTATTGCCTAAGTTGCTAAGTGAAGAACGTCCTAAAAGGAGAAAATGAAGGAAAGAATGGTTAAGTATAATATTTCAAATTTGTTTAAAACAAAAGTTGTTTTTTGAAAATAACTGAAAGAGACAGTAATAGGTATAAAAGTAACACAAGAGGCTGTTCCTGTGTTCTTTGAAGTATACATTACACAGGATTGGACTCTAATCTTATACTGTCAGACATGGCTTGTTAACTACAATGCTGTGGGCACACACTGGGAAAAACTTGATCCTAAAAGTGGACCCTCATCTTTAGAGATGGACAGAGCTGTTCAGGAACAACAACAACAACAACAACAAAAATCTAAGCTGAAAGACAAAACTGGGTGCTAAGGCAAGAAGCAGCTTCAGGTATCTTTTTGACCCTAGCAGGATGCTCATTCCCAGTATGTGGAAGTCGCCTAACAATTATTTGTTGACTCAATGAAGGTCTGGTAATAAATAGTTCTACATACAAGTCCACTATAATGATGTAAACATCCAGGAATTGAATGCTCAAAAATTCATGCAGTCAGCACTAGGGAAAAATTGAGTAGGAGACAGTGAGAGACAAACTTAGGCAGGGATTGAAGGTCAGGATCTAAGTCAAAGAGAGAAGGACTGGGGCTGGGGTTTAGGTACTGACACTAAACTGCCACAACAAGTCCAGGCTTAGGGAACACGACAGAAACCCATCTGTCAGGTCCACATAATACATCATGCACTCATTCAGCTTGTGATTGAATGGCTTCTCTTTGCCAAGTATTTTATAGATGCCAGGAATGAAGCGAACAAAGGTTCCAGGTCTATGTAGTTCATATTAAAGTGAGCCAAGGCATAAAGAAAAGAGGCAAGTAAAATATACAGTGTGCTAGATGATGTTAAAAACTTCAAAGAAAAATAAAGTAAGAAAGGAAGGTAGTGATCAATGGAAGGAATTGTGAAGTTGTGATTTTAAATCAGGGGGTCAAGGATATCAGTAAGGTGTCACATGCACTAAAAGGTATTGGGGCAAACACAGAGACATTTGCAGGTTGGTGCAAAGGCTCTGAGGCTACTGTGGATCAGAAATTTTCTAGAAGGCACTGGATTCAATCCCAAGCACTTCAATTTTTTTTTTTTTTTTTTAAGGAAGCTTGTATGACCCGAGGGGGAAGTATTAAGAAGGGATGAGATCATAAGGCAAAGGGAGGGGCATATGGGGGACAGATCATATAGGACTTTTGTGGGACTGGACTGAAGGTACTGAAATTTTGACTAAGACCAGAACTGGTCCTCAGGACCCAGGTGAGATGAACCTACAAGGATCTGTTAATTTAAAAGCCCTTCTGGGAGGGGTGAAGAGGTTGGGAATCAAGAGGGTGCTTGGGGGAAGACACACAGGAGGTAAAATGTCCTAAGTACCCTCCCCTGTTTCCTCACACTATATCTGATTCCAAGAGGAGCCTCTCTCAAATCCTCTTTCTATAGAATCTTGCTTTTGTTGGAAAACTAAAGCCTCAGCTTTTCTGGCTTAGTATCAACCAAGGGTTATTATTATAATTATGCTCTAAAGGAACAGGGATGAAATGAAGAGCATTGGAGTTGACGTGTCTGGACATGGACCTGGTGTTCTGGAACTGGTTCCTTCTTGCAAGTCCAGGTGTGAGCAGAGATGAATGTCTGCACAAATCTCCCATTTTTACAGCCTTTCTGTAGGTCTATGTAGAGTATTATGCACATAGTTAACTGTGTTTGTTGACGTAAAATTCCTTGTATAAGTTAAACTTTAAATGAACATAATTAAAATGAGATGGACTCAAAATTTAAGAAACAAAAAAAATTTCTCCACCATTCTAATTCTGGGTCATCTACTCTTCTTGGTAAAATCCATTTGCTAAGCCTCTCGCCAGGAAGTTCTGATCCCCACACAAATGCTGGAGAAAGAGCAAAGGCAATTTACAGAAACGGAGACCCTGTACAGATATTTATAGAGCTGCTTCTATTTGCATAAAATTACTGGTTTGTTCATTTTTAATTATTTGAAAATGCTGAGTAGCCTCTTTTCCAGCAGGAAAATGATAAACCACAAGGCTTGGTTTTTCACATTCTTCACACACACGATAAACAACCAGCATGTGGTGGCACATGCTGCTTTTTCCTATCTATTTATTTATTTATTTTTTTCTGAAAAACAGAACCTGTTGAGTAGGGGGCGGGGGGACTTAGAACTCTCTAGGAATTAAGTTCTATCCTATTTCATATCCATCATAAGCCAAACCGAGGCTTCCAGGAGACTAAATCCAGTTGTTCCGCCACTGCTTAGCTCAGCTAGTTTATCAAACAGGGCATTGTGGAGTCTAAATAGACACAAAAAGCTTTTTGATTTCGGCAGTTCTCATGAGAGCTCATTGAATTTATTGTGATATTTTTCTTTAGATAGTAAAGAACCAGATTAGTATCTGATAATAGATCAGCACATTTATAAATGCTGAATGCTGAGTTGTGGGCAACATGTGATTGGACACAGAATTTGTAGTTATTTTGCTTTATTGTGCTTGCTGCAAGGACAGGGAGGGGTAACGAGGTTCTCATCTCTTCTACAGGGGCCTGGGACAACAGTTGGGTAGGCAGAGATGGGCTGATCCCCGGAGCGCTTGCCAGGCCCAAACAGGGATGATTCAGTCCCTTGTGAGAGACTGTGAACGACAGGTGTCAGCATTAACTGTGCAGATTCACAGCTGGGGGCAGAGGATGGAGGAGGAGGACGCAGCTGTGTTCGCAGGTGAATCTGCACTTGAGCTGACAGGTGTCCTTATTCCCTCTGGGGCAAGATGTCCATATGTGGGTGGTGGTGAGATGAAGCCACAGTTGAGGAAAGAGGAGTCGTGGGAATTATTCAGAGCCACTGACTTGAGTATTTTCCTGAACAATTAGCTTGAAAATCAGGGAGATTTAAATGATGATGAAGCCAGATCTAATTACTCATAGGCAAGCGGAGGTTTGTTTCCCTGGAGGTGAGTTATAATAACCAGTTATGTAAAGCAATACTTTTGGTTGTTGTTAGCTGTAAAAACTAAATAAGACACGATACACACAAATTTTTTATTGAAGTCAAACATACAGAGAAAAGTGCACATAATATAGTATAGAAACTCAGTCATTTGTGTGACTAGCACCCAGACCAAGAAGCAGTATTTCTTCCAGAACACCCCCTTGGGCTCCTCTCCAGCCATTACAATGCCAAGGGAAGACATTATCCCACTTCCCAATAGCATCTGTGAAGTGTACCTGCTTGGGTATTTTATGTAAATGGTATTGCTTAGTATGCAGTCTTTTCCTTTTTGGCATCGTTCATTCAACATTACCTTTGTAAGATTCATCCTAATCTTGTGTGTTGCTTAATCTTGTTGCTATGGAGTCTCCATCATACAAATACCACAGTTTTTATATGCATTTTATTCCTTATGGACAATTGGGCAGTTTCTAACCTTTAATTATTACGAATACTGCTTCCAATGAGCACTATGGTGGATATACTGGTGCATTTCTATGGAATACGTACTCAGAGGTAGAACTGCTAGGTTATAAGAAATGTTTACATTCATCTTGCGTAGATACTGTCAGTTTTACAAAGTGTAATTGCACCAATTTTTTTCTACCTCTAATTTTTTTTTTTAATTTGAAGGATACAAAGATTTCCACTTAGCTTTTGCCAAAAGTACTTCCCTTCTTATCTTTTTTAATAAAATTTATTGTTTCTTTTTAGTTATACATGACAGTCTTCCTTCTTATTTTAAAGTGTTTGTGTTTTGGGTAATAACAATGCTTACTGCCAAGACCCAAGAAGCAAGAGCTGTAGAAAAAAAGGGGGGGAGGGTGTTAAAAAATAGGTCAGAGCATTAAAAAAATGTACCTGAGGTTGTCATGCTAGACTAGGTCCCCGAGTCTTTAGCGCTTGTTTCCTATCTATTTATCAGCCATTTATTATCTCTGTGCCACACCCAAGATTTTGACTCTAGTTCTTGTTTTCTCCGAAGCTCTCAAACTTCTCAGCTTCCTGCACCAAGTCAAGTTGTAGAAGATGAACCTCAGAGCTCCCAGTATGTTGGGAACTGGACACAAAGGACACCGAATTTGTTCCATTTGACATGTTTTCTCATGGAAATAATGTTGAGAGACTGGGTTCAGCCCAACAGTCACGACAGGAACATATTGACTAGAAAGTCTTAGAGTCTTAAAAATCTAATCTGTATATTTATCCTATTACCAACAAGTTGATATCTCTCTTTTTTTGTTTGTTTATTTGCCTTTTTGTTGTTGTTTTTGAGTGTTGGGAATTCACACAGTTAATAAATTGAGAAACTCTCATATCTATACATTAGACCTCATTGTTCTTGATTTCAAATAAAAGAGACCACAAATAAATCAAAGGACGCCTAAAGGTTATTTTTCTAGCCAAGGCCCATTTTGTAAAAAGCTGAGAGGTGAACATGAAAACATGTTCTCGGAACATTCATAACAGGAGACAGTCTCTGTCCCTGGCTGCGGGACAGGTGATTGAGACCCACCCCTGGGCTGATCTCTGATTACACAGATTCAGCTATTAGCCTA